GGGTTCAAGGTGAAATCAGTTCAAGTCCGCAGGGCAGCCTGTGTCGTCTGTTATTTGTTTGTATCCTGCCACGCAAGCGATCGCTGTACAGTCGAAACTCCTTCAAGAGGACATACCAAAATGAAGTTCCCAGCACGCACCTATAGAAATCATGGTCAGTTTTGATTTCTTTTTATGACAATCTTACTTTCCTTGTAGTTTTCATCTATAGGAAGCTACACTGTAACTATATGTCCAGTTTTAACCCTCCAGAACCTCATCCCTTTTCTGCTGCCTTTCCTGTCTTCAAGCGAAACAAATCAATAGGTGGGCTCGGTGGAACAACCCTCTGTTTTTGAACTTGTACTCTCACATCCGAATACGAATCCGAAACCCAGGCATGTGCACATCGCACCGAGTTTTTTGACCTATCGCACATCATCGCATAGCATTTTGTTGTTCGGTTCCCAGCTCCGCTCCGTGTGTAATTTTGAACAGGTGTTTCCCAGCGCTGTCTTGCTTTTTTTGTGGTTTTGTTTGCCGCATATGTATACACATTTGGTATGTACAGAGTATTAATCCTAAGCTGCCCTGCCCTGATGTCTGGTATCAGCCTTTTATTTTAGCCTTTTAGCTCATGGGTTTATTTCTCATCCATTTTCGTATTACTTTTCGGGGGGGGCGTCGTTCAGGTTTGAAAATTTTTTTTTTTTCGCAAAAAAAATTGCCGGAAACAAGAGGCCGGCGATGCTGTCTGGACTGGTCTGGTCCCGACTCTTGAAGCGATCATTTATTATGGCAAAATAACACTCCTTGAGTTCTGCTCAAATGTAGTCGTCATATGATTTCTCGCCCGTTCATAGTTTGTAATTTATTTTGATTAATGATGGGCGGCACCGACTCACGCTCTCCTCCACTCTGTTTCTCCTATTTTTCTCTTCAACTTTTCCGTTATTTTTTTCGTCTTCAAGTCTAAATTTAAACCAATTCTATTGACACGCTCTATGTTGTGCATCCAGACCGTTTTGATTGATTGTTTAAACAATCTTAAAGCAATTCAGATATGAATATCTATAGGCATTATTCGTTACAACTCTCTACAGATTTTTTAGGGCTAGAAATCCTTTCTTTTATTGCTAGTGGCATCCGAAATCGATCGCTTTCATATCATTAATTTGTTTTTTCGTAAAGGATTAAATATAGAAAGAGGAATATTAATTTGTCTAATAATAAAACAATACAAAGGGGTTATGCTAAGTCAAAGAGCGAGCAAAGGGTTAAGAAGGCTTAGGGGTTAAGCTGCTGCTTGAATGACTGACCGGAAGCTCTCCACATTCTTTGAAGTCGAAGCTTAAGCCTGAGCTCTCCACTTGGAGCAGCCATCTTGGCTTGGTTCTCCCGCCCTCCCTCTCTTTCTTTCTTTCTCTCCATTGCTGTCGCTGTCTCTATCTGTTTTCAGCGCTCCTTTTGCGCACATTTTACTAAAGTTTAATAATTCAATGCGCGCGGTCGAGCCGCTGATGTTGTCTCTTTGTTGCATTTCATCAGCATATGTTGTTGTCGCTGCTGTTACTGTTCCTCCTTTATCACTGTTGTTGTTGTCGCGCTCATTAATATGCAAATGTGAGTCAGAAGCGCGGCGAGCGGTGTGTTTGTTGCGGTTGTTGCTGTTCTTGTTCTTGTTTTGGAATTCTCTCTTACCTTTTATGCTTGCCCATCATCATTATCATCATCGTCGTCTCCGTTTCGAGTCTCTTTCCTGTTGTAAATTTCAGTATTTTGAATGCAGGTCAACAGCACATTAACCTGTGTGTGTGTGTGTGTGTGTGTAATTTGTTTACTGCTGTCCATTTTATTTTTCTTTGCCCTTTTATCAGAGTTTTCAAACTACCAAGCGGTTTCTGTAGTCGACTGTTTGATACCTACAAGTTTACAAGCCGCATCAATTCCCATGCGGTCTCATGTCCGCAGAGCTTGATAAATAGAACAATACACAGAGAGAAAAGAATTGAAATTTGGAAAATATTAAATCTATTTTTCTTAAGCTTATTATTATATTGTGCCATATTCTCGCAGTGTAAAATCAGACAAGTTGCTCAATAAGTATGCAAAATACCCTAGAATTGTATTTAAAGCAGCTTTAGCCTCCCACTTTGCTGTTATCGCCCAAGCCTTGCATAATAATGCTGTTTCTACATTTTTCTTTCTTTCATTGTATTTTTTTGCAGTAGCAACCACGCGCAAATTTTTTTCATTGTTGCTAATTGGTTTGCACTTAGCACTTGCATTTATTTTTATTTTTTATATTTTTTCTTATGCAACTCACACAAATGCGCATTTGGTGGACTATCGGCTGCTAGAGCGAGATGGATGTCAACAAATAATGACGTCACGCGCTGATGTCTAGTGATGTCGTCATAAAGTTCGCCCCAAAAGAATCATATGATTTCCTATTTGCTTTAATGGCCAACACTTTAACATACAGCAACAACAACTACGAATACGTCGCACACACATACACAGCCACTCACTCACGCTCGCCAGATAACAAAACGAATTCGCTTAAAAATAGCAGAGGTCGTTGGGTCGGGGAAAGGGGAGGGCTGCGGCGGCGGATGAAGACAAAACAAAATAAATAAACTCTATACATACATATGCCCAGCTTTTATTTGTTGGCCACAGCAGCCGCGCGTGCTTGTTGACGTACGTACGTACATATGTATGTACATATCCATCTACGTACATCAGCCTGGTACTCTCTTCAACAGAGACGGAGAGTGGGAGAACTTCGCTCTCTGCCACTCTCTCACTCTCTGCCCGCTTGGCCTGCCAATTGTTGTGTGGGGAATTTTTTCTTTTATTGTTGACATTTTGATTAGTCCACCTCCTGCGAGAGTGTATGTGTATGTGTGTGTGGGGTGGAGAGAGGCGGAGGACAGCTGTTTTGGCTTTGCAATTAAATGACAACAGCAGGAAATCGAGCACACACACAAACAGCCAAACTTGTACATTGCACTTTGTTTGCTTGACTATAAATCAAAATAATTTTTCAAAAGCAAAATTCAAAGTAAAAATAAAGGAAACGTAACGAAATTATTTATGGCTGCGCCCACTATACAAAAACAACTCAATGAAGAAAAACGCAAGGCAAAGATGTTCAGATGTGATAATACAAATCTTCATAATCATTCTTTCTTTAAAAACTTATATCATTAAATACGAATCCCTTCAGTAAGTTGTAGCTGTATGTATATATTCCACGTAACTTTAAAAAAGGCTTCACTGTATGTAAACGCTGTGCTAATGTAAAACATCTTACCTCGCTTCATATGTCACCTCCACCACCGCCTCCTCGTACACCTTGATGTAAAAAGCCAAACTCACCACGGCAAATGTTACGCTCTCTAAAAAAAGAAACATATTCCCCATGCTACGTTGTAAATGTAAAAGTTGTTGAGGCCATTTTTTGTTTTTATGTTTTACCAAAGCCTCCTCTGTATTCGGGTAAAAGTTTTTGTGCTGCGGTTGGCCCCAAAAGTTGTGCAATACGGGAACTCCCCCCTAGAGTAATTTAAGCCATTTACTAGTTTGTAATTTATGCCAGCCTGTTGTAACAGCAGAGTGGCGCTGCTAGGTTTCTCACCACTAAGGTCAAATTTTTATAACAGAATCCCCACTCCGCCATCCACACCAATACATTCGTAAGCGCTGCGTGTACCCATTTTGATTCTTGCCCCAAGCTCCACGGCGTCGCATTGAAAATAACAGTAAATGTTATTGCGCTCAATCTCCTCTTTTCTCTGCCCTCGCTCTTTCTCTCTGGCCCTTTTCCTTTCTCCGTCTCTCCTTCTTTGTTGGCCATGTAACTGATGGTTCAATCTCCACCTTCTTTGCTGTTCTTATTGTTGTTTTTGTGGCTGGTGGATGGCTTTTACCATTTTGCCATTACGTTTTGACTTTGCTTTTTGCACGGCGAGAATTTTTTGAGGCAATACTATATAATATTTAATTGCGTTTCAGATTCAGACTATTACTTTCATGAAATATTTATTATTCGTTTTAAAAATATCAAAATATAGAGTTATTTAAAAAGGGAAACTTTGTTTCATTTTTTCGAGTGTACATTGTAGCTATGTGTATATCTCCGATTTCGCCCATAACTCTCTCTCACTCCGTTTGTGGTCTTCTGATGGATGTGCAGTTTGGCACGTCAACTGTGCAACTTTTGGGAAAGTAAACTGATCGCGATAAATCGATACTTGCCTGGAATTCTCTGTTTAATCGATCGGCATAAACAATTGGATGTGTTCGGGGAATATACATCAAATTGTGGTGGAACCGTTAGGTGTGAGGCTGCTTTAAATTCATTAAACATAAAACCAAACTCGTTTGCTTTACTACCACTTACTACAGAGCTCGTTCTCTGTTTCTTTTTCGTTTTTTTTTATTTTTATTTTTATTTATTTTTTGGTGGGAAAACTGGTTTAGGCTTGATTTTTCTCTCGCAGCTGCGAGTGTGTTTGTGCGATATGCTTGACAGCCTTGAAGAGAGCAAAACGAGAGAAAAAATAAATAAAAAACAAACAACATAGTCTTACTTGTCATGTTGCCTTTTTTTGTTGCAACATTTATTATACCTCCAAACATACATATGTATGTACAATATATACTTCCTACGTGTGCGTGTGAGTTTTGTTTATAGGCAGTGTTGCAATGCGGTTCAATGCAACTTTGTTGCAAATAATCAATATCAATCTTTGTAATGCACTTTAATTGCCAACATAATTTTGCTTTATAGAAATTGAAAGGAAAAAGAAAACAAATTTCAAGCACTTTAACAAAAAGTTATATTTAAAAAATAAATTTTAATTTTAAATAAATCAATTTAGAATATGAATAAATTTAAATTGTGTTTTATAAAAGAGCTCTAAAATTTTTGACCATTAAAAAAAACCATTCGCATTTAAGATTTCTGCTTCAAGATAAACTTTACTAACGTTTCTTCTTTCGATTTCTTGCAGCTCGTACCGCGAATTATTTGCAGTCACGAATCAAAACACAAGCGCAGCCTAATAATTGGACGAACTGATTTAACAACAGTTAAACTGAGCGCCGCAAATCAACAGCAAAAATAAAAACAACAGTTGCGAGTTGCAAGTTGCTAGTACGTTGCACGTTGCCAATTTGAAATTGCACGCTTCCACGACTGAAATCCAAGCAGGAAGGAAAGGAGCCGCCGGTGCCGCTGCCACACAGCAGGAAGAAGCCGAGGAAACTTCGCTGGGCGAAAGTAAAATCAGAGAGAAACAACCAATCCGCATCAGCACACTCACAGAGGCGCTCTAGCCAGCCATGGAACGTGAATCCAACCCAATGCAACCCATGTGCCGCTCTGGTTGCGGCTTCTATGGTAACCCAGCCACAGATGGTCTCTGCTCCGTATGCTATAAGGCAAGTTCTTAATACGATCTCTATCAAGAGTCCCCCTGTATTAATTGTTTTCACATTTTCACCCACAACAGGACTCGCTTAGAAAAAAGCAACAGCCACCTGTGAGCAGCACACCTGTCTCCGTTCCAAGCCCACAACCTAGCCCCACATTCAGTCCGGCCATTGCAATCACCAACACCGCACAGCCCACAGTCACCAGTTTACAACAGCCACACAACGATGTTAAAGAGGTGAGTGTGAAGGACTTGTAGGATATAAGGAAACTACTTTGGGAAATTTTTTTTAGAGTTTGATATTAATATAAATAATTAGTGGTTAGGATTTAAAGTTGGTTCCTCGCAAAAAATTATAAAGGATTATAAGATACAAGTTTCGATATACTTGGGCCTAAATTTTCTTAATAATCAGATTAGCCTGGGATTTAATGCCCCCATATATATGTAGTGTACTTCGGACTCGTTTAGTTACTCACAAATTCTGTTGATTTTTGGACATAAATTCAGTGTTATCTTAAGTGAAAATTGTTTCAACATATTTTGTTTGTTGTTTGCGTGAAAAGAAGTCGGAAATATCCAAGGAGTTGTCTGCACTTTTCCATTAGTTCTCTGTGTGTTCCTTGTGTTAATGTTGATGTGTGTGTAAGACACTGATGTGACTCCCACCAGCTACGCTGTTGCAACTTTAGATAAGGTAAAGTCTACTTGAGTTCCAGACACCATCCAAGAAAATATGCTTGGAAAATCGCTGCGGGACCTAGCTCAAAAAAATCTTGGCGGAGAGGTGAAGGGTCTAGAGATGGCCTAGATAGACATAAGGAGTTGCTAGGATTCTGAATAACATAAATTTGCTTATATTTTACGAGCCATTTGGTTAATATTATCACCTTAAATTTGCGATTCTTCTGACTAGAGCTCCTTAGACCCTGTGCTCCAGGTGTCTCTCTCTAAGTCACCTCTGAAACCCCCCTGAATCACACAACCTCTCGTTTCAGTTTAATGTCACTCAACTGGCATTCCCATTCGATATTAGTGTAAAGCATTCCTTTTGGCTCGGACTCTAAATTCTGTGTTATTTCGAAATTTAAAAACATTTAAATCGCCGAGATGGTTAATTTTGGTGCCTTACCTCAAAAGAGATCGGGTCGCGTCCTGCCGCCCAAACGCACTCCAGTTTCTGCATCCAAATCCAATGCTGGACCTGCTACCCTTTCGGCAGCGAGCCGCCTTATGCGAAGACGGCCGGCGATCGGCAGTAGTGCCTCGGCCAAGCGAACCACTGCCGGTGCGCTCACCAATCTGAGTGGACGGCTGGCCGGTTCGCCAAGTCTGGGCATGTTCCATAGTCAGAGTCTGCTTGCGGACCCAAAGGGTACTACTGATTACTCCTCTTACTGGGTCTACCGGCGTCGCCCAGACGCACTAACCTCGTTTCCCACCTACACCTCTCTCCTCCACTTTGACGCAATGCTGCAGCACAAACAACAGCTCTTCGCCAGCCCCCCGTACCGCCGCCACGCCCCCTCCGACGAGCCACCGGCCTTTCTGCTCTGCAAGTCGCCTCTACAGCTCCCGTTGGACTTGCTGCCAAGGTGTCTGGTGCCGGGCCAGCTCTTGCCGCCCACCCAATAGCACCATCTATCCCTATTCAGACAACGTTGGCTCCCAAGAAGAGTTCGCTATCGAAACGCGCGTTAAGCGGGGGAAAGGGGGTGGATCCTTGTAACCAGACCAAGCGGCGCGTCAAATTTTCGTCCCATGTTAGCGCACAACCTACGGATACCACCATCACTGCCAAGAAGTCAGCCCGAATTGGAGAATTGCAGCTGAAGAAGCGGGTCAAGACACTGAAGCGGATTCGATCCCGTCGGGAAGGTGGCCACGGTGGCAGTGGCATAACACCAGACACCAGTGGCATACTCGCCACAAGCAATCAGGATATTAACACCATCATTGATGTGGAAGCCCTGAAAGCACCACCACCACCACCACCACCAGCACCCCGTATTCTACGCCTCAACGTTGTGGGGAAATCTTCGCCGGCAACTGGGAAATCTGCTCTTGCAGCGGCCCTTCAACGGAAGGCCAAGAGAACCAGACCATCTGCTGCTGTAGAGTTGGATAAAGCCACAACAGCAGGAGTAGTTAGAACAGCGGGCAAAGTAGGCAGCGGCAGTCGGATCAGGAAAAGTGTCAAGACCACAACAAAGGTGATCACCAGCAAGGCTGGCGGCGGCAGCAAGCAAAAGTTGCTGGGAGCTAGTTCCCATTCGGTTACAGGAAGCAGTGCAGGATTAGCGACGCACAAGAAAACATTGTCGGCGGCGACAGCTGGACTGAAGCGACGTAAACCACAGCCAGCGAATGGGCGCCGAGGCTATGGAAAAGCCTGAGGGCGATGACGACCAGTCGGAGAACTCCGGGGAGAATCAGCAGAAGTCGCCGTCGATGCTGCGAAAACGTGGCCGGAGTGGTACACCCAATGAAGGCGAGATTGTTTGGGACAGGCCGCCGACGCCACCAAATTCAATAGCTCGTGTGACCAAGAAGCGGGTAATCATCATCTATAGCACATCGTTCGACACTCTTGTCCGTTCTGTCAGCCGCTAGGCGAGTCACAAAATAGATTCCAACTCAGTCGGTACGATAGGAATTTTTGGCGGGGAGCCCAGGCGCGACCACCGCTGCAGAGGCAACCGCCAAAAAGAGACACCATTCTCAGACAAACCGAGAACATTTCGAGCTCACTAGCATTTGCTTTTAAAATAAAAAAAAAAAAAAACAAATAATAAGAAAGAAATCACTTCAAGGTTTTTTCAATGCAGTTTGATGAGGACAACGACGACCAGGAGAATGCATAGTGGGGAAAAATTTTGTGAAGACGTACATATATAACTTGGAAATAAATAGAAAAAAATTTAAGACTTCAGGAACTGATATTTGGGGAATATTTTAGAAGCTTAGAAATTAATTAAAAAAAGCTTAGATTAATACCTTTAAAACTTAAGTAGTTGTACAAGTTTCCCTTCCCAAAGAGCTGACTTTAGCTGGTGATGATGATGATGCTCTTAGTGCTAGTGATGTTGTCATGCATTTTTGTCGTGTGATTAACATTCCTTTTCTTTTTGTTTCTCTATAGAAAATCACCGATGAAGCCGCCGCTGCTGCCAAAGTCAATAGCGAAGCCATCACATCGGCGACTGGTCCAAACACTTCCACACAAGCAGCCGCCTCGGCCAACGAGGAGGATGATAAGGACAAGGAAGACGATAAGGATGCCAAAAAGAAGAAGAACCGATGTGGCGAGTGCCGCAAGAAGGTTGGCCTGACCGGTGAGTAAAACTTTCCTTACCTTAAATATAATAATTACTAATGAGTTATATTCTCTTATAGGTTTCCAGTGTCGCTGCGGCGGTCTGTACTGTGCCGTGCATCGTTATTCTGATAAACATAACTGCACATTCGATTATAGAGAGCATGGCGCACAGGAGATTCGGCGCAACAATCCGGTTGTCGTTGGCGAGAAGATTCAAAAGATTTGAATTTCGATATTGTGCCAGTAACAGTAAACAGTAGCCGTAGAATGATAATAACCAACCTAAACATAATAAGAGTATATATATATGCTACGCTATAAACAACCCACAACCAACAACAGAAGAAGAAGAGCAAAGAAACACACACACACAAATCCACACAGAGAGTAATAATACTATATGAATCGATATAAACTGTAATTGTAATTGTAATTATAATGTAAACACCAGCAAAGGCAACAATAGTACAGAGAAACGATAACCAAATACCCCGCATAACTGCAGTAGCAACAACCTGGAACAACAACGGCAGCCATTTCGATGCTCAACAACAAGGTGAAGGATAGAAGCAAGCATTGCCACCCATCAGCCACGTGCAGCACAAGGAGCAGCAAGCATGCAGCACCTTTGTACATCTTGAACCAGACGTGTAACAGCGTTAGAGCAAAGTGCATACAAATAAACACGACGGCTGAGAATGGCAATTGTTGGAAGCGGCAGCAATATAACATCGTTCATCCATCCATCATCAAGCAACATGGAACAACCAACAAGCAGCACAACAACAACAACTACTACAATAACAACCGATGGACCTTGGTCGCCTGCTGAGCTGGGGCTGAATGAAACCGTCTTGAAGGAAACAACAACTACAACTGCTAGAACAACAACAACAACACCTTTCATCGACTAGTGTTGAATCATTTTATTTTTCTTTTGTTATTCCAAAAAAATACAATTTGCAAATTGTTTGTATTTAGCTAAAAACACACACACCGCCACATTTACAACGACAAGCAAGCACACAACAAAAATCAACCATTGTTACCATGTTACATACAACGCAACAGCTTTTAAGTAAGACGATGTGTGTCTTTTGTTTTTGTAATTTGTTGGAGTGTATTAAATAATAAAAAAAAAATAAGAAAAAGTACGAAAGCATATAGAAAAAAAACTTCAAGAACAAAATTTAACAAGCCCCCCAATCACACACAAACACACACACCAACCAACTCTTTCTCAATTCTTAATTATCAGCTACTAAAATGAAGAAGAAAAACAAAACAAAAAACAAATATATATTAATTAATTATGTATATGTATTAAAAAGAGAAAAAGGAAAGAAAAAAATATGCAAAATTTAAGCGTAAAAAAACAACAAAACCCTCACCATAAAACAAAAGCAAAAAAAAATGTAAAAAAAAAAACAAAACAAAACCTGAAGAAAAGAAACCAAGAATAACGCAATTGTGTAGAAGAGAGAGAGCTCCTTAAAACAGTTTGCTATAAAACCAAGACCACGCCAAGCCAAGATAAAAGCGGAAAAGAGAAATTGTGCGAGCGAGGAGAGAGTTAAGCCAGGGAGAGAGAGAGCGAGAGCAGGGCGCGTTTAGTGTAAAGCAACTTGGAGCATAACAACTCCCTAATTTAGAGATATATAAATATATAATTATGTATAATTAATTAGTGAATCAAAGCAGGCAAATGCAGTGCAAGCGGCGTTTTTTTCTTCGTTTTACGTTTTACCTTTGGCCCCCCCTCCTGTTCCCTGCCCACCCCCTCTAACATAAAATTGAATTGATTTTAATTTTGATTAATTTTGTCGATGAATTATATACATTTTATATGCATAATATTAACTATATCTCTACTACATCTACATAACTGGTAGGCTACATGTACATGTATAGTTTTCTTTTTTGGTATATGCACGTTAAGGCGAAAAGCGAAAGATTTAAAAACCAGCTAAAAAACAACACTTATTCTATAAATATAGAAAGGGCGAAAAGAGAGTGGTTACAAAAGAAAATTCAGCAAACACACAAAAAATTTGAAATGCAAAATATACACACAATAAATATATATGGTTCGTCTTTAGATTTCTTTATTGCTTTAAGCGTTATTTAGTTTTTCTTTGTTTATATTAAAAACACACACACACACACACAACAAGCAAACAGTTTTTATTTCCGCTTTCTCTTCATTCTGTAGTAAATAATTTACAATTTTTATTAAAATCAATTTACACCTATGCAAATATAAATTTAAAACTAGCGATAATGTGTTGTTAACCCCCTAAAACTTAAATACAAAAATGAAAAAAAAAAAATCAAAAACAAAAACAAAATTTTAAGTAAAACTAAAAACTTATCAATAACAACAAATGGAAATATTGCAATAAATTTTGATTCTACAATTAAAAAAAGAAAGAAAAGAAACTCCCTCACGACCAACCAATAATCTATGACACACACACAGAACTGAGTGAAATCGTTATCCTTTCGCAGGAACAGAAGCAAAATGAAAGCCGACACCAAACTCGCCTTTAACCAAACGCCTTTCTCCACACTTTTCAGACAAGACACAAAACCAGGTTGATTACTGGCAAATAAGATCAGTTTCTAGCTAGCCAAGTGCCCTTGGTCACCAGAGGCAAGGCTAGCTACAGGCTGATGGGCGGAATCTGGGGCTCAAAGCGGGTCACCACATCTCATAGAGACCCTCATTGGGCGCCAAAGATTCCTAAGCAACAGAGCAATAGTCAAAGTCCAGCCGTAGGAGTGTTTAGTCAAAACATTTGAATTGTACAAAATCAGAGAGATGGAAATGAAGGGAAATAAACAAAACATCAACTAGAAACCGACTTCAATATTTAATTATTACCGAAAGATGAAAAGCAAGTGTACAGATCAAGAAATAAATAAAAAAGAGAAATTAGGGATGCAACCAGCAACAAGAACAGCAAAATGTCATTTTAATTTTAATTTATCCACCATAAAGAAAAGGCAACCACTTTACATTTTATACGTATATCATAATTTAACGCATTATAAAAACCCTTAAAATTAATTAGTAAAATTGTACACCACACACGCAAAACGGGGGAAGAATTTTAAGAGAAATAACAATACAAGTTCAGCACAGTTTACAAAATGTTTCAGTAATAACTTCAAACGATAAATAAGAGTAATATTATATACTTGAACAAGTTTCTGTATTCTTTGCATAGTTGTAGGTTTTCATTTTAAAATAATTTACGATAGTTTACCATAATTTACAATGCTTTAGTGTGCTTTTAGTTGAAATTGTGTTTATATGTTTAACGAAACAAATAAGAAGAGTAAAGTGAAAAGGCAAATAATAATTATAAAACTAAGCGTAATAAAAAACTTTTATTATTATTAACCAACCAACGTTTATTCTAGTAGTTTCTTATTAATAATATTTACCATTACCATTAATTATTAATTATGATTTATATATATTTTTTTTTGTTGTGTGCACACCTCTTAGTCACTTTTGCGCTTATAAGCTAATCAAGCCACACATACACACACATACAACCCCAACCTGATCCTGAACCCAATCCTGATCCAGTACCCAACCATCCGGATCTTATTCCGCAAAAAAAAAAATACTATTTGTGTTGAATCTTTTGCAATTGCTAGCCGAATTTGATGATTGTTTCGATTCTTACCTTTTTTGGAATATGTGAACACTGTTTTGTTGAATGGAAAACCGGAAACGGAAACGAAACGAAATTAGTTGACATAAGCGTATGAATGGGATATTATTATTATGAACCTTATGAATGCATCCAATCTATCTACAGCCACTTTATGCGTATATAAATATTGTACTAATGTGTAATTTGTAATTAAAAGCGAAGAATATCTGCGACCAGGTGAGGTGAGAGAGCGATAGTAGGAGGTGGTAACAGTGAACATATATTTAAAACACAGAAACGGTAAAGCTAGAAAATCTAAATAGAAATAGATATATACATGCATATATACCTATATATATATATGACCCTCAGATCTGAGCGTATATAAGAGCAACAACTATTTTAATTAAACTTAAACAAATGCATAAACAAATACAATAAAAAAATAGAAGATAAAACAAGAGCAACCACAACAAATTTCACGAACGAGAAAACCCAGATGAACTTCAAGATTTATATAGCTAACTAAAGAGATCAAGAGATATAATGTTCAATAAATGGCGATTATATAATTTTTAAAAACAATTGCATGTTTTATTTGTTCACCTTAATTTGGCAAAAAAGAGATTCCCCCTTCTGCTTTCCAAAAAAGAAAACCCAAGAAGCCAAGCCAAGCCAAGGTGCTAAGTAGAATAGATACGAGGAAGGAGATCGAGGATAATGGAGGATCGGGGAAGGAGGATTTAGTGGCTCTGGGGATCCGCTTTGCAGTATATGGTTGGTTCATACAATAGTTATTAAAACCTTAACTAAAGTCACAGCAAGTGTTCAAAAGTAAAACTCAGTAACTACCTAAACTCAGCAAGTAAATTGTAATAATAATAATAACAAAACAGTTTTGTGTGTGCTTATTTCGTTATGATAATTTGTAAACAAACACAATAATACAATTAATCAATTCATAAAGCAACAAATTAAAAAGGTTTTGGATCAGTAAATGAAATCTTTAAGTGAAACAAAGAGAGATACAGCAAGCAACAATTTCAAATATTTGGCAGATTCTTCGCGAAAGGCAAATCTATTAATGAATGCGTAGATCTAAGGGAAATCGAAGGAAAATATATATATATATATACAAGATATAACAGTTAATGAATGATGCAGCAGCAATGTCGTAAAAATAACAACAACAAAATATATCTTAAGTATAAATGAGTATATATATATATAGACTATATCTGTATATCTGATAAATGAGAAATCGCTAAAACTGATAAACTTAAACCTAAGTAAAATTAAAAAAGAAAATACAAAAAAACACGGAAAGAAATGGAACTAATAAAGAGAATTATTCTGAGAAATATAAAAAACACACAAAGTGTCTTATTTTTATTTTTTTAAATGGAGAAATGTTAATGGATCACCTGCTCTTTTTTAGCATTTCAAATTGACTTTAATTCTTTGTAATCAGAGCTAATGGAGGCAGTCAACAAAGCAGTTGCAATCTTTCATCTGATTGTGCGCAATAAAATATATTTTCAAGATAAGAAAGCAAGCAAAGCAACTGTAAACATATATCTCTAGCTTGGAGAGCAACTCCACCTAGAGCCGACGACGACTGTCCCAGCTCCAAGATCAGTTCTCCGCTGGCTTTCGTAGCGCTCGGTTGATCTAAAAATAAACTTTGGGGCTGAAAGGGAGCAAAATCCACTGGTGACCCACATTGAGAGCTGCCACTATGTCGACCGTACAAACCGGTGAGTGGGTAATCCACACGAGATAAGCGGCTATTCCGCGCCTTATCTCCGCTCATCAAATATTAAAATTTTTCCTCTCCTCCTCTATGAAGTTCTGGGTGCCATTACCCCCAACCTTCTGGGTCGTACTCTGACCCACGAGCATGTGGCCCTCGACTTTGAGCATTTCTATCGCCCACCGCCTGCGGATTTTGAGAGCGAGCTCAAGGCCAAGATCAGCATGTCTACCTTGGGCTATGTCCGCCTCTATCCGTATTCCAGCAAGGAGAATATCAGGTTCTATGATGGCGATGCCCTGGAGGCTGCCAAGAAGGATGTTTTGCTCTACAAGAAACATGGCGGTGGCAGCATTGTGGAGAACAGCAGCTATGGTTTGAAGCGTAATCTGGAGTTCATTGTGGAGCTGGCCAAGAGCACGGGTGTGCACTTTATAGCGGGCACAGGGCACTACATCCATGCCATGCAGGAAGCCAGCCATGCTAGCATGAGCGTTGAGCAACTGAGTGATTTGTACTCAAAGGATATTATAACTGGCTTGGAGGTCAATGGAAAGATGGTCAAGTGTGGATTTATAGGCGAGGTGGCCAGCGTTTATCCCATTCATGGTGAGAAACTATACGGCTAAGACTGGTGTCCTTTCTTTATTTGATGTTTATATGTTTTTAGATTTCGAAAAACATTGCATCAAGGCTGCTGGCGAGATCCAGGAGGTCCTGGGCTGTGGTGTATCCATGCATCCGCATCGGGTGACCCAGGCACCCTTTGAGATCATGCGTCTCTACTTGGAGGCGGGTGGAAGGGCTGACAAGTGTGTCATGTCCCATTTGGATCGTAAGTCTAAGTAATCTTTCTACCTTCCTGCATTATATAGACAAATTTCCTTAATTCTAGGCACCATCTTCGATGTGGATGAACTCCTAGAGTTTGCCAAGCTGGGCTGCTATATTCAGTACGATCTCTTTGGCACCGAATGCTCCTTTTATCAGCTGAACACCAATGTGGACATGATCTCCGATGGCCAACGAATCGACAATCTGATAAAGCTCATAAACGAGGGCCTGGTGGACAAGCTGCTCATGTCCCACGACATCCATACAAAACATCGATTGGTTGGCTAAAATTACCTCGAATCGTAAATATCTCTTGCTGACTCTTCCCTTCTATTTATAGACTTCCTATGGCGGTCATGGCTACCATCACATCCACACCAACATCCTGCCCCGCATGTTTGCTCGTGGTGTAACTGTGGAGCAAGTGGAGCAGATGACGGTCACCAATCCGGCCAACTGGCTGGCCTTTAACCCCTAATTGCCTCGTACTGTTGTTGTTTTGGTGGCATCTCGTATCATTTTATTTGTGGCGCGTATTAGATAAGCCTTGTTATTTTGGCAATAATAATATGGGCGTGCCTACGAATTCAAACCTTATCAAATTTTGTTTTTTAATTACGACACCAATTTGGGGGCTCGTGCATGATTTCTGTGGATGCAATTAGTAAATAAGCTATGGGATGTTGGACAAACATGAATATTAATCCCCTACTTAGCATTTTTATTTGTTATATATAGAAAAAGCACATGGATAATAGCACATATGTAATAGCACAAACATTTAAGGCCGACAACCGTCACTAGAATAAAGTAGAACCAGTTGGGAATTATAAGCGCACAGGTGTGGGATTTTTTTCGAGACAAATTTTAGAGCGAATTTGTCATTGTTTTTATTGGAAATTGAGAAGGAAAACAAGTGCAATTCTGTCAATATATAAGAAAAGGAACTAAATAAGTCAAAATCAGTAAAAAACGCTTTCCATTTGTTAAAAATAGAAAAATATCCCTAAATTACTGAAAACTCTAAAATTTTTAAAAATTTCCACTGTTTCTAACCCTAGATAAGCCCACTATGAATACACAACCTTATCGATTTTGACCCGTATTAGGTGAGATATAACACAGCAACCCAGTTCTTTGGACTTGTTTTCCCACTGAGAAGAATCGAATAGTTCCGATGATGTTGCCAAAAATAAAGAGGGGAAATAGCAAGTACAAACGAATCGAAACGTTATCGTTGTTATTGTTTTGCGGTGTTGAGAGCAGGCTTATCAGGTCGTCGTCAGGCCAGGTCCCATAAAGTGACCAGCCGGCAATCGGAACGCAAAGGTGCCGTTTTTATAACTGCCAGCCAATAGAGTCTCCTCATCCAGCCGCCGGCGGCTATATATACGAGTTCCGATTATTGTCGCATTCAGCAGTATTCAGCGAGCAGTCAACAAAGGCGGTTATCCTCGTAGAAAAATATATAATAAAGCTGGAGCCATGTCCCAGGCAGTGAAGACGGATGCACCCAAGGAACCCAATGGTTCGGCGACTAAAACAAATGGAACCGCTGTTAATGGCAAGCTGGAGGCTTTGAAGAGACCCAGACATGTCTCTGGTGGTGTGGAGGAGATCATAGATCCCTTTTGTAATCCGGAGAAACCTCAACGCATCTCCTTTCATGATGTCACATCGGCTGCCTTTCTCATACGCGGAGGTGTAGAGCGTACTCCTTGTCCGGTATAAGATTTATATATATTTTGCATAGGATAATTTATATAACGTAGAGTGACTTACAGAAATCCACATCATCGGATCTATATGGTATGGAGTTGTACTTGAAAAAGGATTTCCTGCAATACACAGGCAGGTGAGTTTTGAAGGGGAGAACAATATGGAATAAATAAATATCTATATAATATAAAAATATTTAAAAATCATTAGCAATAATTAGTTAGAAAAATAATATGTATTTATAGTTATAAAAACCCATTAGGGAAATCATAGTTCAACTTAAAGTTTATTTGTGAATTTAAATTCAAAAGAACGCTGAGTTTGCGGGAAATATTCGTTTTATCATAAACATTTTCTTTCGTCATAAGGCTAAAAAATAACCCTACTAACATCCTTTATAACCAAGATAAGGAGTACTAATTTTAGATCAAACCAATAGTCGAATTTACTGGCCTTCTTAATGGCTTATAAAAACTTTATAGAAGGGGGTTTCCTGTTGAAGCTTTTCATATTAAAACTTTGTCTTTGTTTTTAGCTAATACTTGAGAAATATTAGTTGATTAATTCAATTATTTATTTCATTTATTTACTTGTATTTTTGATAGGCAATATAGGTCCAAAGTGCATTTTACTTCAGCTTTTTTTGTTGTTATACCCTTGCAGGGTATTATAATTTCAGTCAGAAGTTTGCAACGCAGTGAAGGAGACCTTTCCGACCCTATAAAGTATATATATTCTTGATCAGCATCAACAGCCGAGTCGATCTAGCCATGTCCGTCTGTCCGTCTGTCCGTCTGTCCGTCTGTCCGTCTGTCCGTCTGTCCGTCTGTCCACCTGTCCGTTTCTACGCAAACTAGTCCCTCAGTTTTAAAGCTATCTGAATGAAACTTTGCACATAGTCTTCTATATACTCTCACTGCTATATATGTCGGAACGGGCCGGATCGGACGACTATATCATATAGCTGCCATACAAATGATCGATAAATTTTTAGAAAAAAATTATAACTTGGATGTTTTTCAACATTTTTGCACCATTATTTAGATATGGCCATTTTATATTATTTCTGAATTTTGGTAAAAATTTCACGACAATCGGACCACTATATCTTATAGCTGCCATAGGAACGATCGGGAAATTAATAGGAAAAAAATTATAACTTCGTTGTTTTTCTACGCATTTTCATCTACTCTGAGATATAAGCTTATTTTATTATTTTAGAATTTTGGTATTAATTTCATAAAAATCGGACAACTATATCATATAGCTGCCATAGAAACGATCGGTAGATGTAGAGAAAATGTAAGGCTGGGAATGTAAAACTGTAACTATCAAACTGTAAAGATAATAAGTATAGGTAAAATGTAATGAAATGATATCTGCAAGGGTATACAAACTTCGGCGTGCCGAAGTTAGCTTCCTTTCTTGTTTTTAATTGATTTTTATAAAATAAAGCTTAGAATTCACTACGTATTATATATTGTCTGGGGGTGTAACTTAAAACCCACTGATAAGGAGCTGTCTACACTTGCATTATAATATTTTGTTCTTTATTTGTTTAATACATAGTTCACTTCCTTTTTGTAATTCTCTATTATGATTGATAGGCCCGCATAAGTTTCGGTGACAAATTTTCGTGATAAATTTCGGTTAAGATCCGATAAGATAAGCCTTAATTGGCCAATATGGTTCGATGGGGCAAATTAATAACTGTTGCTAATTGATTTTTGATTCGTGATCGCCATGTGACTGACAATCCATTTACTTGACAGCTTCAAGGAGCGTGGCGCACGCTATGCCCTTCTATCGCTCACCGAGGAGCAGAAGCGAACGGGCGTGATCAGTGCTTCCTTGGGAAACCATGCCCAGGCTTTGAGCTATCACGGCTGGAAGCTTAACATCCCGGTGACCGTGGTCATGCCTAAGGCAGCGCCCATCATGAAGATCCAGAAGTGTCGCAACTACAAGGCCCGGGTCATTGTCGAGGGCAATGATATGGGCGAGGCCAAGTCTCTGGCCATGCATATGTCCCGCGAGGAGGGTCTGCTCTATGTCAATGGCTATGATCATCCGCATATAATGGCGGGACAGGGCACCATTGGTTTGGAGATACTGGAGCAGGTTCCAGAGCCAGATGCCGTGGTGGTTCCAGTGGGAGGAGGTGGACTCATTGCGGGCATTGCCACAGCAGTGAAGGCTCTTTCCCCTAAAACTAAGATTATTGTGAGTTATGTTTTATTTTTCAATTATTTTATTTTATTAATATTCAATTTTCTTTTTAGGGTGTGGAGTCGGAAAAATGCGCTAGCTTCACCCGGGCCTTGGAGAACAATGGACCTATCCACACGCCCATCAAGAACACCCTGGCCGATGGCCTGGCTGTGCCCAAAGTTGGCTATAATGCCTATGTCACAGCCAAGCCCCTCATCGATCGCATGGTGGTGGTCAAGGAGGAGTGGATTGCCGTGGCCATTCTTCGCCTGGTGGAGGAGGAAAAGTGTGTGGTCGAGGGAGCAGGTGGTGCAGGCCTAGCAGCGATTTTGGCCGGACAACTAGATGAGCTCAAGGGAAAGAAGTGAGTATAAATTTTATATTTTATAGCAGAATTTCAATATTTATAAATATATATCATTATTCATCCCTAGGGTGGTGGTCCTTTTGTGTGGCGGCAACATAGACACCACTGTATTTGGACGCTGCCTGGAGCGTGGACTGGCCGCCGTGGGTCGCCTGGTCAAGTTCAATGTGGAGGTCAGCGATCGTCCTGGCGGCATCAATGATCTGTGTGCCCTATTAGTACGCGTTGGAGTCTCCATTAAGGACATTATGCATGAGAGAGCCTGGCTCAGGGATGTATACACCGTGGAGGTGAAGGTGGTGTGCGAGACGGTGGACTGGTCGCACAGTTTGGAGCTGAAAAATGAGCTGAAGAAGTTCTACTCTAAGGTGGAGTTCTCCGATGTCCCGCTGGCCCTGACCACAGGGGTCGACTCATAGGCGGTTGTTGTTTATATATATTTATATTGTATATATAGTACACATATGATTTATTCACTTCAGCAGCGCAGCGAAAAAAACTTAAAGCTTAAAACTTTGAGCTTAGTGATTTAAGTGTAAACATAATCGTAGTCGAAGTATAAATGTAAATTAGCCGTAAATAAATATACATAAAATACAGAGTCTAGAAACGAATTGACCAACGTAAGGATACATTAGGATAATAACTAAAACACAAACAACTAAGCATATATAAATTCACAAGCTTACAACTACAATGCAGTTCGTTCAGACACATTACTATATCTTTTCTTTTTTTGTTTTATTTTCTCGTTTTTAAGATCTCTTTGCGGTTTTTGGCACATTAAGGATTCATTTCATACATACACGATCAGGATCAGTCAGACAGCACACACATTACAGTACGAAATTTACAGTTACATGGCTAGAAAATATATATATATATACGTCTCTATATAAATATGATTTATGTGGTAAAATGTATAAGTTTAGTTGTTATCTCATAAATACAGGCATCTCGTTGTTAAGTCCTTTCCTCGGACATGACGTACTTTAAAAGCGCTGACTAAACCTAGATTGAGTATGCTAAGGGACGTTTAAATGGACGCTCTCAGTGGCTGTTGTCCAGGCGCAGGATCAGGGCATCCACTACATTATAGATCTCATCGAAATGCGGCCGGGACTCGGCATCTGCCGCCCAGCACTTGAGCATCAGGCGATACATTTCCGCTGGGGTATTCTCTGGCGTCGGCATGCGATACCCTTCTGAGCGAAAGTTCGTATTAGTATTATTAACTTTATAAATTAATTAAAAATATTATAATTACCCGTATCGATGCGTTCTCTGGCCCGGGAATTGCTCATGCCAGAGTATGGTGTATCGCCCTTGGAGTATATCTCCCACATCAGTATGCCATAGGACCAGACGTCGCACAAGGAGGTGTATTTGCCAAAGTTCAAGGCCTCGGGAGCTGTCCACTTTACGGGTATTTGTTTCATGCCATCGGACACTATTAAAATAGTATATTTTAGATTTATTTTATATTTAATTTGTTTGTATTTTGAGTAGCTTTTTACCTATATATTCCTCTTCCTCACGCGACATGCCAAAGTCAGAGATCTTTACACTGTGCTCCAGGTCCACCAGGCAATTACGCGCCGCCAAGTCCCGATGAATGCAGTTCTTGGACTCCAGATAACGCATGCCTTTTAAAATAATATTAAAATATATTGTGTTATTAATTTTATTAAGTATTTTGAAGATTTAATTCAGCTTACCTGCCGCTGCATCTCTGCACATGCCCATTTGCTGGCGATTGGTGAGGCCATTGGAGTTTTTACGCAGATAAGTGAGCAGGGAACCTCCTAGAAAAGGCGTAATATATCATAAAAATTAATATAAAGTAGAATCAAAGATAGAATAAGAGGGTAAATGTGGAATACAGCCTTTGAAAAGGATTTTAAGGAGTTAAAAAAAAAGGAAATTGAAACCTACCCAGCACCAGTTCCATCACAATCATTATGGGCTGCTTTTGGACACAAATGCCAATTAATTTGACAATATTGGGATGATCATATTGCTTAAGGATGCGACCCTCCTGCAGGAATTTGCGTTTCTGTTCATCCGGCAAAGTCATGCGGCAGGTTTTGACAGCCACATCAAGTTTTGTGGACTTTAGTTTGGCTTTGTAAACATCGCCAAAGTTGCCCTGAAAAATTAAATAAAAAATCATTAACAAAAATCTAGAAAAAGGTTATAAAGTCCCCCAACTTACCCTGCCAATCCTCTCCAGCAGCACCACATCATCGTTGCTCAGCTCCCAGCGTTCCCTGCACACCGGTCGCCGGAGGATAGCCCCCGACTTGACCGTCACTGGCAACTCGGAGTGATATTGGTGCATGATCAGTTCCTGGATGCTGGCAAAAGGAGGACCCTCGAACCGGAAGTTACCCTCTCCCGTGGTCTGGACAATAAAGTGCTTGTGGCCATTCCAGCAGACACTCAGCACAATTTGGCTCTCCTCATTGCGGATGGTTTCGCGAACTAGAAAGTCGCCATCATTGTTAAGCAACCGGACCACCTCCTCGCGGGGCAGGACGCCATGGAACCATTCCTCCTCATAGAGCGGACGATTCGTGGACAGAGATATCTGCAAGATCCAGAACATTAGCAAATCTATATCCCATAGCTCTTAGGCATAAGATTAGTGGCAGGCATGCAGAAGACAGAACAGAAGTGAAAATTGTTGGGGGAAAAATAAAATAGCACGTCATTTCCACATTTCCAAATGCGGAGCGGAAATGCGTGGGTTGCAGTAGCTTAAATAAAGATACCAAACGATATAAATATACAAAAATTAATTATAAATTAAATACTGTAAGCACAAAAACCAAATACTTATATATTGTTACTACATTAATGTGGAAAATACTTTTCGCTTAACGTTCAACTTTTCAAGGTTGTGTCGCAGCTTGTGTATGGATGACTCACAAATACTTTGGATTTGGGCCGCTTTTTTCGGGCCGGCGGCACAGGGCGACCGGCAAAGACAATTGTCTCAAAGATGCCACTGCCCTCGGCTCCGGCGTAGATGCTGCTCCGTCCCGAAGCTGTGCTGCTCATGGTGATATCGAAGTCTATATATCTCCCACCCGGAACAAAGAGAAAACTACTTGAACTTGCGCAATTGTTTTCAGAAAATCGAAATGGAAACTGAAATAGTCACGCGTCGTTCTGTCAGAACTTTTCACTGGCCAAACAGACGCCAAACATTCGAATGGGCCAGATTAATGGCAACTGCTGGCCCGGTGTCCACACAGATCGCCGCCTCAGCGGAGAGAACTGAAAGATATAAACGCTTTATGCTCTCGGTTGAACTTGTTCTCTCTTGGACTCGGGCACGCACAAGTAAATATAGCAATTGGAAGGGTGGAATATATTTTAGATCTAACGAAATTCTGATACTCTTTGAGGGGATTTTTGAGCACAAAAACTTGACATATTTATACAAATATTTATTCAAATGACTTCCCCTTTTAATACTGGTTTAAAGTTACTTTTTAATATTTATATTTATCTAGGATTCTGCAAAAAATCACTAGCGGTTTTAAAACCCTTTAAATAGTGTCTAAAAGTATGCTATACAATTTTTAAATTAAAGAATTCAGTGTAAATTGTATTTTTTATAACGTATGATTTTGCAGAAATTGTTCGTAATTTGTAACCTATTGGGTGCCTTTTTATTTTTATTTCTTATTTATAAAGGTTTACGGTAATCCCTAGACAGCCTTACGATATATCACCCTGATGTCTCCATTTTCTGATAATATGAAAGCTACTTCCTTTACAAACTTATCCTAAGGTGTTATATCAAGAAAAAGCGTAGGAAAGAGTTTTTAAAGAAGCCTAATTTATAAGAATTTGTGAATTTTAAAAATTATAAGATGCAAGGATAAAAGTTAGATAAATATTATATATAATTTAGACACCATAACCTTGATGAATTTTTAATAAATGCACCTCTAAATTAATGAATTTATAATTATTTAATATATTATATAGCATATATAATATATATTGTTTTATTTTCACAAAGGAACCTAGGTATTTAGATATTAATTCCTATAAAAATCATCATAAAACCAAATATAAAACCAGAACAGACTTCTCTTAGTTCTCATACCCCACTGAATGAATTATTTTCTAAGGTCACCCTGTGTTTTATTTTTATATATCCCCCGATAATAAAGCTCTTTCCTCATGCGCTCAATACTATGGAACGAACGTGCAATTTCAATCAAAACATGCAAACGGAAAGAGCAAGCAATGTGAGGCGATGCCAGACGATGCGATGCGATGCTGTTTGTGTGAGAAGGTGGCGCCTTGTGGCGCCCAGTTGGCTTAGATACGCTCGAGACGGTGGAAGAGAGTGCTCGGATACGAATGCAGCTACAGATGCAGATGCTGGGAACTCACACTGGCCGCCAGGCTGGGCACACAGTAGCAGTGATCCTTCATGCTAAGCACATCGTCACTGCCGCTATCCTCATTATCATGATCATGATCATCGTCGTTCTCATCCAGCTCCCCCGAACTGGACTCGAACGGACGCTCCTTGTGTCCTGTAATTTGAACGGATGGCTTTGATTTCTGCACGGATGGCTGTGGGCAGTTGCAGAACTGATCCTCTCGAGCCGAGTCCTCCGACTGATCCCCCTCGAATTCTCGAGCAAAATCAAAGACACTTTTGCTGGGATGGATGCGCCTTCGCTTGGTGCACTGCTTGCAGGGTTTGGAACGTTTCAGTTGGAAGTTAAGCAACTTGGAGCGGAATGTGTTGCGGATGGCCTTTGATTTCTTTTGGATCTTGGGCACCTTGAATTTCAGTCTTGACTCCTTGGTTTCCTTGGACGGCGTCGTGGTAGTGGTTGTCGTTATGGTGGTGGTAATGGTGCTCGTAATGATCGTGGATTGGGAGGCACTGTGATTGCTGTTGCTGCTGGTGTGGTTATTATTGTTGTGGCTGGAGGAACTGCTGCTATTTGTCTGACAGTCACTACTGCTGGACTGAAGCTTCTCCGGATCCTGCTCCTCGCTGAGGGTGCTACTCTTTCCCATTCTCACTAGAGGACTCTTGGAGAACTCCTTGAGATTGCTGAATATATTGCTAATGGACTTTTGGGTAAAGGAGAGGGATCTCTTCTTGGAATGACCCATATCCTTGGCACTTAGCTGGGAGGATCGGCACTCGGAGCTTGAGCTGGAGCTACGCTTGGTGTGGCTATCCGGATCTTTGGTTATCTTTCGGGCCTGAACCTGACCCGACTCTTCGGCAGACTCAATGGCATTCACATCATCGCTGGTCTGGAGGTTTCTTTTCAAGCGATCGTCTAGCACGCGGTTCAGCTCATCGATCCTGTCTAAATGGGCATCGATGGAGTTCTGTGGCGCCGCCGTCTGGTTGATCTCTATCTTCACTTGCTCTCTCTTTCCAGAAGGAAGCTGCCCGTCTTCCTCTTCCTCGTCGCTCTCCTGCCGCCTCTCTAGGCTCTTCCTGCCCAGCTCGAGATCCGCGTAGATGTGATTGTTGTTAGTGTTAGTAAGGACAGCAGCGGTTAGCTGGGTGAGCGGAGCGGGCGAGGTTATGGTAGCCGCCGGCAACGGCTCCTGCGGCTCCTCATCCTCGCCCAAACACAACATGGAACACTGGGTACGGCGCAGGCGCGGCAGGGCAGGAGGCGTGGCCCCCAGCGAGATCTCTTCGCCCAAATAATGGACACTGGCCGCCAAACGCAAAGGATGGTTAGTAATTGTCTCGTAGCGTGCAGGACTCCTGGAATCCCCATGACCCCCAATTACCGACAAGGATCCAAGGCTCTGGGAGCGTGGCTGCATCTTATTGAAGCGTCCCTGACGTGATCTCGTCATAGGTGTCGCTGGCTGCGGTGTCGACTTGCGTTTACAGTGGCGTCCGCGTCCGCGCAACAAGGTCAAAACCCCACCGCGACGCATCAGTTCATTCATAAGGCCCAGCCCAGGTGAGCTGGTGGAGTTGGAGCGCTGCTAGGTTAGGATGGGTGTTATGTATAAGTCATGGGAGTGTGACCAAAGGGCGGCATCCAAAGAAAGAGAGATTAGATTAGTTAGACCTTCACCATCTACAGCTTACAAACTAAACCAAAACCCAGGAAAAGGATATATTAAGGCCAGACCCACCTGCTGCTCATTGTTGTAGCCATTTTCAATGAAGTTCTGTTCCAGGGTGAGATGATCATCGCAACCCGAGGGCAGCTCCTCGCAGCCCACCTCGTTCAGGGCGCACTTGATCATATCCACTAGCTTCTGTTTCTGCTTCTCCTGGCATCGCAGGGCATTCAGGTCCTTGGATTGTCGGCTATAAAAAAGAAAGTATATATAAATTATGCAATTTGTTTTATTTTTAAAGGATTTAAGGATTCTTTTACCACTGACTATCCTTGTTGGACTGAATGCCATTGGATGTATTGCTGCCATTGGAAATAATGCTGCCATTGGCCACTGGTGAGCCGCCATTTACATGCTCGATCATCTTCAGCTGCTTCTCCTGGCACTCTTTTACAGCTCCCTCGAGTTCCAGGAGTCGGTTTCTAAGCCAGTCCACTGTGAGGTTATCCACCGTCAGGGTGCTGGACTGCAGTTTGCCGGGTATGTCCTCGATAAGCGCCTCATCGAACTGGAACAGCAGCGGGGTTGTGGGGGAGGTTCTGTAATAAATGTAAATACATTTAAATACTTTATTTCTTAATTATTTAATAGCTTTCTCCTACTTGTGTTTCTCGGTAAACTCGCCATACTCTTCGGTCGGATTAATGCCGCCTATCACAGTGTCAATGCGCTTTTGGATCTCCTTGTACTTGTCTGCCGTGAGATCACCATACTGGGCTGCCTCTTGGAGGATATTGCGCCACAGCAGGATAAAGCTCTCCTGAACGGATTGCTGGTGCTCCAGGAGACCTGGCAGCAGGACAGTGCGAAAGTCCTTTTCCACTTCAATGGCCTCGGTGATGGACAGCACATACTCGTTGTGGGTGAGGTGTAGCTTGCGGCAGGCCTTCTGGTACTTGTCACGGACATCGTCCAGCTTGCGGCCACTGCGACCAGGAGCTGGTAAAGGTACTCCTTTATTATATATATTATTTTAAGAATTATCAGGTTACTTACCCTTGATATAATGCTCTTCGAAGCGCGTGCGCAGCGCCTTGTAGCCCTCCAAATGTTTTTGGTATTCGCTCTTCTTGCGCACCACCTCGTCGGTGAGCTGAAAATGTAAAGAGGAAGCGAATTGCGGTTTAGTTTTTTGGGGTTTCACTCTCTCTGATATGATATGTGTGTGCGTGTGGTGCCATTAGGGCACTTTCCCAAAAAAAGTATATATAAAAAACTGGGCTCATTACATCATGATTATCGGTACGTGAATCGTCTTTTGTCGCCTAGTGTGTGCTCCACATGCGAGTAATCGCATAATGAAGCCCAGTCGCGTCCACCTCCTCCTCTCCCTCTATCACCAGTGACACCTCCTATCTGCTCCATTGAGTATCTCTCACACTTTCTTTGCTAAACATTTTCTCACGTTTGCATATTATGCAAGGTACACGTCCGACCACAGAAAAAAAAAATAGCAACAAATGCCATGGCTCCACAAATGACTGATAAGTGACTGGGCAAAAGGATTGCATTATGCAGCTGAGCCAACATCAGCATCCCAGCTAGCCAGTATTCCAGTATTCCAGCATCCCAGCATCCGTTAGCAGTGTCAACAAAATCCACAACGACTTTGTTGTCGAGGACTGCGACTGCCAGCTCAAGTCGGGCTTGAGTCCAAGCTGAACCTGAAGCCAAGCACTGAACAAAATATAATTTCTTGGCTTTCTTTAAAGAAATTTTTATATTTAGCTTTTAAGCTGAAATAACTATAATTTTTCCTTATTTAATTACAATGAAATACATTTTTAAGTAGAAAACGGCCTCTAATTGTATTGGCTTAATAAGTAGCTTAAGACTTTTTTATTGATAAACCTTCTAACCTTGAATTAATATTAAATAAAATACTTGACATGTAATATTTAATGTACATAAATATTAAAAATTTTTTCTGTGTAAATTATTTATTTTTTGTGTAGTTAAAGCCACAAACTAATGGCAACCAAGTGCAGTTAGTCAAGCAGCTGCAAAGTTGCTGAGTTAAGGTGGCATAGACATAATGCAGCTGATGTTAGGCCTGGCACAGTGGTTAATAATTAAAAGTGTGTAGTAAAAATTGTACTTAAGATGTGGTAAAATCATAAAAGAAAATTTTAACCCAAGATTCATAGTATAAACAAAATATAACAGGAATTATTCAGTTGTTAAAAACTATTTACATGTAAGAAAAAATGTAACAAACTTCCCCTAAGAAAGCTGGCAGCAAAAATATATTTGGAGAGGGTTTTAAAATAATATAAAATTAATTTAAATATAATAAATCGAATGATGTTAATACAATAAATACAAAAAGGGAATAAGTTATATCCTTCGAATTAAAGTGTAAGATATAATGTTCAAATATTTTCTTTAACTTATTCAGTCTGAAATTGAATTACTTAAGTTTATGTGTAATATAAATTATATGTATTAAAGGTCTTCTTAGTAAAGTTTAAAGATACTTCAGTTCTGCGGAAAAATAAGTAAAATTACTTAATATTTATATGAGTAAGCAGCTTTTAAAAAAATCCGTTGATTTAAACAAATAAAACAAGTGTAAAAACAAGCAAACAAGGCAAAAAATCACAGTTAATTTGTAAAATAAAAAAAAAAACTTCCCACATTTAAGTGCTGCGTATGCTTTTGCTGGGAATTAATAAAATATAAATAAGCTCAGCAGCTACATTTATAATTTAATTTAATTTTAAGTCAAATTTGCATTTATTAAGCTTAATGAGAATTTATATAAAATATTTATAAGCTCAGCAGCTATTTAATTTAATTTAAAGTAAAATTAGCTGTTATAAAACCTTATGAGTAACCACAATTTCCCAGCATTTTTCCATAGTTCCCATCGGCAACCTGAGCCGCTTTTTTCTGCCATTTGACTTTGCATATTAATTGCAGACACTTTTGCACATTTTCCATTAAACACGGAAGACGGTCGAAGAGATGCATTAACTAATTGAATGATCGGCCAAAGCTTGACTAAAGAATTTGCAAAAAAAAGTAAAAATTTAAATAAAATGGCAAGGCGAGCGAAAAACAATTTGATCGTATGCGAATGCGTGTATAAATTGCTGACCCAGTTAGGGGATTTGGCATTGAAAGTGTTATTGTTGTCGAGAGTATTTTAGTTTTTTTTTCGAGAGTTATCTTGAAATTGGCTGCAATCTAGACAACTTGTTGCCGTCCAGGCAGTCGCTGATTCCCTGCCAGAGCTACGTAATAACCAATTTTGCAAGGTTCTGGCTGGTTTCTGTGTGTTTTTCGGCAAGTGGTTAAGCAACTTTCAATGCCTCTGCAGCTGCTAATTTGCCTAAAAAGTTGTTTAGAAAGAGAGAGCGAGAGCCGGGGCGGACCGACACTGAGTAAAAGAAATAAACATGGCTCGAAAGTGGGTCATGCGCGCCGTATTTCTTACTTCTTGGCGGCTAAAAAAAAAAAAAAACCGTCAATAGCGTTTCAGTTTCGGTACTTCCATCCCCATGCCCGCCACCACACCTCACACATTGTTTACAAATGATTGCCAATTTTTTTTTTTTCGTACAGAATCCCCCGGAATCCGAGGAAAGTTGCTAATCCGCCACCTGCAATCCGCCGGCCAGCGAAAAACTTTCTCAATTTTCTCACGCCTTTTTCCCCGGGGGTATTTCATTCGATATTTATTCAGTTGCTTTTGCTTCTGCGAGGGGACAACGCACAGTTTAAAAATCTCAAATAGTCGAAAATCTATATGCAAATGCGGCGATGACCTAATGGAAATCTGTGACAAGTGGTGCCAGCTGGCACGTTTTGCATTAATCAGCTTGATTCTTTTGCCTTTCGATCCGATTCTCTGTAGAATTGGACTTTTTGCAAATTATTTTTCGTTTCTTAAAAGACATGTACAATTAAGCGGAAAATGCTACCCAAATTAAATGATAAATTAAGCTGGCAAGCTGTCCTATGATTCAACATTTAATAATTAACATATTCATGTCAATAAGCTTTTGGGTTTTATGACTTGTCAAAAGATGACTGTGACATTGTCTACAAAATTTGTCCGCTATTTTTTATTGTTGAACATATATGTATATATTTTTTGCCAAGTTCTTTTCTTGCAGCTTGGGGTTTTTGTTGAGAGTTTAGCTAACAGTTTGGGGAATTAATCATAAATATTAGGTATATAAAAAAATTAAAAATATAAGAAACCAGCAAGAAAGATACATCATGTTGCTAAGAAAAGGTTGCTGGGGAAAATGTGGCTAGAAACATGTTGAGCATCAGCTGTGGTGGGTCTTTGCAACATTTCAATGCTGCACAGGTTAAGCAGGGAGAGGAAACTTTATTGTTTAATAACTGCTTTGTTTATTAGCCAATTCTACTCATATTTTAGAGAAAAATACTCAAAGAACTAATTTTAATATATATTTAATTATTTTCTACATACATCTTGATGTATGGTTTCAAAAAAAACATTTTAAATGCTTTCTTCTCCCTGACACCAATTAATTAATACATAAATAAGAAACAATACCAAGTTTATATATTTTTTTTTAATTTTTCTATAGGCATATATATACAATTTTTTTATTTCTTCCCCCATTTCCCAGAGTGTACACCCTCATGCATCGTCACATACACATCATAACAATAAAAAAGCACAGCTCAATCAAGCGAAATTCAATTCATGTCTACACTTCCAAAGAAATTGGCTTTAATCAAAATAAATTTGTCAAATGTATTGCGGAATCGTGATGCAATAAAAAGAAACCGACCCAAGAAAACCGAGAGAGAGAGAGGAGGGCCACAAAAAATGGAAAACAAGTCAAAAGTTAAACCCTAGACGGGGAGTTGTATTTTTTATTTCTTGATTTTCGTCAGCGCGTGAGAGTTTTTCTTGGCCAGAAAATTTGAATATGAAACGGCGGCAGCTGCTGACAAGTCGTTGTGGAAATAAAACGATAGGAAATGCCACACGCGTCTGGGATTTTCCTTTGTTGTGGTTGTGTGCCTTTTTTTCTTCTCTTCTTTTTTTTTTGTGGTGGGGAAATCAAATCGGGAGTTTTCAATAAGTCAGCGCCACAGCTGTGGTTGCACAATCGCTGACAGCGTTGACAATAATAATAATAATAATAGTGATGTTTTATGAAACAATCGAGATGGTTTAAACACTGGCGTTTAGCCTGCAATTGCGAATTATGCAAATTTGTGACCGTTGAGCGAGTTAGCTTGTGTTTCCGCGGACCAGGGATTTCGAGTAATTTAGACTGGTCTTGGTCGTGGTTCGTGCCTGGGCTCTGGCTCTGACTGTAGCTCTGGGCCTGGTCAATGAACCAGCCGGCCAATGGCCAGCCCCAGCCCCAGTCCCGGCCCAACAATGGACACGCTAATATTAACGACCAACCCGTTTTGATGGCTTTAACTGTAATCGCGCCAAAGCAGTTTGGCTCCTGTTGAATTCCCTCCATTTAAAAGGCATTCAAAAAATCGGTCGCATAATTGCCACGCAATATCTTCACTTTCAGTTGCTACAGTTTGCTTTATTTTCTTTTCTGACTGCCAATAATATTTGCCAAGTTTTTATTCACGTTTTTATTTCGGTGGCTGTCAGACTGGTTTTTTTTTGCACAAATTTGCATGCGTGCCAAGTGAAAGAAGCATGACGAAAAGGTCCGAATTTAAATTGTATCTGTAAATGTTTGCCAGCACTTTCTATTTCTGTCGGAAATAAACAGAAAAAAAGGCAGACAAAAGAATAGAATGGCGAAATTGACGAGCACAGTGAAAGTGTCTTCGAATTGGCCAAATGCCCCGAGCGAAGCGAGCAAGTTTGTTGCCTGAGTCTTTCGTTTTTTCGGGGCCTGCCACCGCCATGGCCGCCACCGTACCGGGAGGTCTCAATCGCCCCAAGGAGAGGCTGCAGAACGACTTTTCAATATCCAAAGCCACCTACGTGTCGCTTGCAACTTGTTTTGCATGCGGAGGGATACATAAACACACACAGACACAGACTGGGCCGTGCGAAATCCTGCAGCCAATCTGGCAGATCGTTCCAGGGAACAAGCATAAATTTTAAAAGCCGAGCAGTTGACT